AGAGGCTGTATTGTTGCTATGGTAACCTTAGAAGTCAGGAAAATGAAATAGAATGTTGGATAAGAATTTTGGGAAACCCTCTTCAACAGGAAAGTCGAGAGGGTGGAAAGTTTTAATCCAATAAATAAGGAGCGTTTGAAATTAGTTAAATCATTCTGAATCACCTCAAAGGTAATCAGCTAACATTTTTTTCCGCATTGTGTTTTTTTTCCTTGAAGGATTCTTATGACCTTGTCTTGGATGAAGCACAACTCGACGATGCTTGCGATCACCTGGGCGAGTTCCTTGAGAGTTACTGGCGGGCGACACATCCGCCGAATCAACCTGGCAGCAGGCTGCCGAATGTCCAAGCGTCCCCATCAAGTCAACAGTATCACCCTGTGGACTCTAACGAAAGACCGAGTGTCTACCTGTGACATCTCCCATGTTGCCTTTCGGTGCAACTCTATTTTGCCCAAGCACGATTGGACAGAATTTTCTACCCATGTTGCATGTCGTGCAAATGAGCCTCTGTTTATTCATGGCCGTTGGGGGAAAAAATCTGTTAGTCCATTGAAAATTGAGACATTTCACAGTACGGACCAAGGAAAAACTCATGGCGAAAACATTGTTCATGTGTACAGTGAATGAGTTGTACCTGGTTCAGTCGCAATAATGGGGTCAAGAGACTCTTGGTGAGACTTACATGTACACTGAATTACGTTGAGGTGATGAGGCAAATTTCGTTATATTCCCTCTGCTTTGCTTTGAGAAGGATGGGTGGAGCGAGCCTGGAAACGAAATACATCGTAACAATGCAAGTGCCAAGTATTTAAGTCATTTCTTGATCGTAAGTGAACAAAGCCGTAGTAGAATACTTTAGATAGAAAATAGTCTTGACACATTTCTGTAGAAAATTGCCGCCAGTGATGCAGCAAAGTAAGTTGTAGCTCTTCAAGGGGTGAAATGGCCGGTGAAATTAGCCGTGTTGATATGCATCAAGTTGTTGTGCTTCGTTTTCAACCTGTATCAGTAGGGTTACAGTCCTACGCCTTCTGCTACAAAACACCATCACCTGCCCCTCCCTAGAATTTTTCTTTATCGTCAAGCTAGTTAAGACGTGAGAGGCCCCCTTCCTAGGGCACACGTTGTCCTCCTCCCTAGTGGCTGGGAAGAAGAGAGAGGCCTTGGGAATGAGGTTGAGATGTTAGACTGTTATATCTTATTCGTCTCTTTGAATGTAAAATTCCGCTTCCGCTGGCTTTTGCTTTATCGTTTTTTTTAACAGCGGTAGTGGCGAGTGCGTTTTGCTGTCGGCTAAGAAATAGTACTTGTTGTGATGTGTGCTTGAAGATTCGAGGCTCTTTGTCAGAACAACGATGGTAATTTTGGAAGCTTTTAAGGCTTTGACAGATTTCACACCTCAACGAAATCCTTTTAAATACACTGGCCCAGGTAGAGGAAAGCCTAACATTTTGTAAAGTATATTGCAATATTTGCGTCGAAATTGCGACTTTTCTCCTCCCTTTATTAGGAAAGCGTTCCTCGATGTAGTTGAGCAGTAGTTGGGAAGAAATATCAATTATTTAGTGAAAAAAGAAACATATCTGGCTGAGAGCCATGTTATCAGTACAGTATAAGCTATTTTATATTGTTTTAAGAAAGCAATGTGATACCCAACCTACTTAAAAATGAAATTTGCACTTATTTGTTTTTTTGTAACATAGCGTTTTTCGATGCGAAAATATCATCGCATTTTTTATAACTAGCGGAAATTTAGTGAGAAGTAAGAAATTGATAAAGAGCTTAAGGCAGAGACTGGTCCGAAGTACGTAGCTTTTCTTCTGTGTTGTGTATGCCTCGTTTCGTGGAGAATTATAAATTGGCCGCCTAATCGTTTTTTCAGTTTAAGCAATTCATTCTTTCATTCTTTTTATCAAACTGAGATTTAATACCTCTCTATCACTGCCTGGTTTTGCTGCTAAGTCAATTGCTCTAGGTAGTAGTGTCAGGGGTGGGTATGATAACCAATCAGGGAGCCCTACTTCGCGCATGTGATCAAAACAGACCAATCACGATGTCTTGTTTTCGCGAAGAACGTATTCTTATTTGTTCCCTTTGATCACATGTGCCAAGTAGGGCTCTGTGATTGGCTATTTCTGTATTCACCATCTACACTGTTTCGGTTATTACAAAAGGTGCCTGGCTGATTTGTCATCATCGTGTTATTTGCAATTGATTAATTCTAAGTTTCCAATTACAAACCTAAGGGGTTTCTTTTTTTTTAAAGGGAAATTGCTTCGTGCGGGTGTTAATTGTATAGCGGCTTTAGTTAGAAATTATGCTTGACGATAAAGTTATTTTTAAAAGAATTGCCAAATGTGGGAAAGCATGGCTTATTGTACAGGTATATATGTGGAAAAACGCAATGAAAGCTGGGCTTTTTAAATTGGAATGTCGAGGAATGCGTGAAAGTATTCCTCTGGTTGGAAATTGTCTATCACTGCACCTCTGTATATTTAGGTCAGTAATTATTGTCAGCCACTGTTAGTTTTTATAATCACGGGAGCAAGTTCTACTTTGAAAGTTGACTTCCTTTAAAGTGAATCTTTTCCCAGTTTTGATCTCGATAACGCTAAAGTATCTATGTTTCCAGGTTTTCTGTTATAGACTATGGTAAACAGTAGGAAATAAAGATGGTCAGAATTGGGATTACGGTATTCCCTCTCGTTGTAAGAAAAAGGCATTATTTAAATGAAAATTCATAGCGAAATTAGCCAATGTAGACGTTTTTCCTCTCACGGATTATCGCGGAGGCGAAACGGAGCTTTGAGGAAAGAACTGTCCAATTTGCGTTATTCTTTCCAAGGTTATTAGAATTTTTACGTAAGCCATAAGTTGCCAATAAGCTTTTCTGTTGTATTTGTAATGTATTTTCGGTATCTTTTTTCGGGATTGTCCTGAAAGATGTAAGATCTCTTGTAACCATCAATTTCAAAGATATGAAGCGGCCTAGTTATTACTTAAGCAAAGATTAACAAACCGAAAGGTATTGATAGCGAATGCGGATATGATAAGTAAAGGGCCTCGCTGCGCGCTGCGAGCTCCGCTTTTACGAGGTGTGAATATTTTCCTGTCATATAACTTAGTAGTGTCATGAGTATCAATACCAATTCAAGGTTCGTTTGCTTCGACCATTGAAAGAATCTTTGATATGAGATTTCGCTCTTTTTCATGCTTTTTTATTTACATTTTTTCCTTGTTCTTGTGATGTTCTAGTCTTCATCACTGGTTTAAGCTACCATTAATCGCGTTTTTATTACCAGCAGTGGATACAGTACTGCTTATAACAGTACTTACTGTGAATTTTATTTCTTGGTGTTCTCTTAAAGATTTGTGTTGTAGGTCCGTTGTAGTATTATCTTCATAGTAGTATCTTCATATGAACCCTCTGACTCTGATGATCTGATTTTTACCTCTCAATAGTGGCTGCTATACATTTTGTCGTATATCAGTTGAAAGAATTTGACGTTGGATCAAAACACTACTTGATACAACCGCCCAGACTCACCATTTGATTGCTACATAATTTATTGAAATTTTGGAATGGAGAGATACGTTTTAAAATCACTTTTCGGAGTTAAAGGGTTAAAATTAGTTTTAGATCTAGAAACTCGGTACTCCAATGCCAGCTTTGACTTTTATCATTAACCAGGATTACCTAGAATGGATAACTCCTATCAGTTTGTAATATTTAAATGCAGCTCATTTCCTTGGAAAGCTGGTCATTGGAGTGTCCGATTTTTTTGTTAGAGTTAGGATTGGTCACTAGATTATTTTACTGATTATTTTATATTAATGCTCTGCCTCGTTATGAAGCAATTTGGTCCTCTATGGCAAAGTGCAATGCTCATCAGTGATTTGTAAATAAATTTTCAACACTACTTTTGTTGGTGTCTTTTTCCTGTGCCTCCATAGAGTGACTCTAACAGTAGTGAGCGGTAAACAGGCAAGTGCGGTCCTCCTACTGCACAATTAGCTGTCTTAGATGTCCCCTTGTGGCCAAGTAAATCCCCTCTGAATATTGAGATGACAGAGTTTAGTTGCAGTCGCGTTACTCTCTGCCTTCCCTACTAGCTTTGTTCTGTCTTCAAAATCCTCTAGAAACAGACGCACGTATGTGTCTTACTTTCTCCTATTCTAAGTTATGCCGAGATTTGTGCCCGCAATACAGTTGTTTGCGCGTGCTTAATGTAGCAACTTGTGCGAATGTACGGCCGCGTGATTGACCAATTTTCTTGGCTTGATGGGTTTCCATGAGCAAGTGTCACGCTCGTATTGCGCTAGAACGTTCGCCGAACAAATAGAAACCTCTGGGTGTCAACGTGTCCACAATGCAGTTGGCCGCGTATACTAAAAGTAACACCTTGTACTTTCGGTCATATGTTACAAATTTTGATGGGTTATAACCATTCTTACAAGTGTGGGGCTTCGCTACTCGCCCACTTAAAGCTGCGCTATTAGAATCGTGTATGTGCTTTTATCCAGTCGAAAGTGGCCGAATAAAACAGGTCCTTCGTCTTAAATGCGTTTCGTTAGCTCCCATGCAGATTTAAAAACAGCAGCACCGCGTTAACTCGAAATGCCCATGGAAAAGAAGAAAAACAGAGCGATATTCCGCGGGAGGGGGGGGGGGGAGGAGGGGGGGTTATGGTTAACCCAGGTTAATTGCTTCTGTAATTAGAAATGCTGCTCAGGCAAAATACTTTAGGGTGAAATTCATTTAAGTTCGAGCTGATATTTCTAAAATTTTTCAACACTGTTTGCAGCTTTCTATTGAAATTTTCTGAGTGGAAAATAGTTCTAAAGCAAGGATCCTACTTCGTTTTATAATTGAATGAAACATAGCAAACAAATCTTATCGATTATTTTAAACCCGCCTTTTGTGAAAGTCTCATTTGAATTACAAATCATTTCTGAAATTAGTATTCACGTTTGCACTCAGTACAGTCTTGCACGTGGAAAGAGCTTACGAACTTCACGAAATTTGAGCGTCTTTTAGAGCTTCTACGGAGCTTTACGTCATTTCGACCTTATTAAATTGGATATTGCCTGTTCTGTCCGAGTCAGCGAATGCTTCTTAAGCTGGTCCAAATGGTTTTGATGCTTTGTCGAGGATTCTTACTTTTCAGTTCGTCTCGACTTTTGTTCAGGTAAGTAACACGTAAAGATGCATTGGGATGGATGTATAGTGTTCGTCTCGACTTTTGTTCAGGTAAGTAACACGTAAAGATGCATTGAGATGGATGTATAGTGTTCATCTTTCTTGCTGTGGTCCTTGTAAAATCAATGTGTAAAATCAAATGTGAGAAGTCGTAATATACATAGCACAGCCGCCATGACAGTTCTTCTTGAACATAGCTTGAGTAGCAACGCGAGAAATTCGTATTTTGTTAGTGTACTTATCGCTTATTTACTCATTTCTCTTTTTATTCCTGTACATATTTTTCAGATAGCTTTTATGATTACAGTGCGTTGACCTTAAATATGTTTTAAATGCAGCTTGTCCTTTCCCTTACCCTCCCACCCCTCCCACAGAAAGTTAGCCACAATTGGCGTCAGTAGAAGTTGACACATCATGTTTGAAGAGCTCTATTTATGTATAAAATAACATTCCTGCTTCTACCACACTCTAAATCATTGACAAGAGCCCTCTCCCCTCCCCTCCCCTCCCCTCCCCCTTTCAATGTTGCCTGTACGTAGCTAAAAGTTCATGGAGTCATGATACATTTTTTTCTTGGGAGAGGGGAGGGGCGAATAGGTTAACTTAACGAGAGCAAAAGAGATCAAAAAGAGAAAGAATAGAGGGTTAAAAAGATCAATGTGTCAACAATTTCGCCGATTATGGGTTATTCCCAATCAACATATTTTTTTTGTAATGCTTAGTAAGTTAAAACATTGAAATTTTATAATGCCTTCGTTCGATATGACTAATGAAAATTACATTTGTCAGCTAAAAATGTGGTGACTGTAAATGAGTTTTTCGATCCAGACGTTGACATTTATTACTTAGTAGGAAAAGCACTCAGGTATGTACGTGTTCATAATATATTTGTCTTGTTTTTTTTTTTCTCCATAGGACAGTTTCAAGAAGAAAGTGAGAACACCTCCAAATCAAGAAAGTCAAGGAAGGAGAGAAATACTCTGACAACGTCAAATAAGGTTAGATGGTTTACTTTTGTTTATAACAAATTAGTTATCTTGGCCTTTTTTTCTGCTTTTAAAAATGTAACCTGGATTTACCAAATGTTTCCAATTCGATACTAAATTCGAATTCTGTCAATAATGAAGACTGAGAAATTCCAACTAAGAAATGAATCAATTTCCTCACTTAGCTGATTTCTTGGAAATACTCTGACAACGTCAAACAAGGTTAGATGGTTTACTTTTTTTTATAACAAATTAGTTATATAGGCCTTTTTTTTTCTGCTTTTAAAAATGTAACCTGGATTTACCAAATTTTTTCAATTCGATACTAAATTCGAATTCTGTCAATAATGAAGACTGAAAAATTCCAACTAGAAATGAATCAATTTCCTCACTTAGCTGATTTCTGATTGTCGTGGCTGTCGGTTGTTTCCAGCAGTGTTCGTTTGATGGATTAATTCCACCGTGAATTATCTCATCCACCAGTTGTCATTATTATGCATGTTAAGGCTAGTCATCCGACCAACCAAGTTACCATAGCAATGGTGAAACCTATCAAATTATCGTCAAGTTCTAAGATTAGAGAATGATTATGAGAATGATATCAATCAACCATTTCCTAGCTTTTATTGTTTTAACAAATTAATTCAGAAGGCTTATTCGTCTGCTTTTCTGGAATTCTCCGGCCGCTAGAGTTAGTATCCAAGAAGGTCACAGAATCGATTGTGTAACTTTAATGAACAGTCACAGTTTTCACAAGTTCTTCGCACGATCACTGTCAAAGGCTAACTTAAATCACACTGCTTCGGATTGACAACTAATTGGGTGTGCACTTACCGGTTAATTGACATATTTCCGCAGCCAACGATTACATAATGGCGTAATGTGTGCCCCAGTCCCCGACACTGCGTTGAACGATGTAAACTGGATTTAATGAATGTTTCCAATTCGACATCAACTCAGCCAATAATGAGAACTCAAAAATTCAACTAAGGAATGAATCAATTTCTTCGCTCGGCTGATTTCTTTGATCCCTCTCTCTGTGATTGAAGTGGCTTTCATTTGTTTTTCAGTAGCGTTCTTTTGATATATTTATTCCATCATAAATACTTTCCATCTGTTTCACTATTGTCAAAAAACTACCTTGTCATTGTTGTGCATGTTAAAACAAGTTACCCACCCTACCAAATTACCATAGCACCGATTATGCCTATGAAATTATCTTCAAGTTCTAAGATTAAAAAAATTATTGTAAGAAGATCATCGATCATACAACTTTCCCTTAGCTTTTTTCAGAGATTAACTATTTGCAAAATGCAGGCATTTTATAATTCAAGGTACAAGTCACTGGCCTAGCGCGTTTCATGTCTGTCTTGAGGCTCATTCAAGACCTTGAAATTGACGAATATTGCATTTGACGTTCTGCTCGCATCGAAATGATTGTTTGAATCTAACCTGGCTTCACACAAGAATAACCACTTTTTCAACCCCCAAATAAGGCCACGATTAGCGGATTGAATTTTTTTTTTGATGCGGGATGCTTTACTTTAGCGAGGCAATCTTTACTCAAGAGTAAACTGATAAAAAAAAGTCGAAGAGATTCGGCCGAGCTTATTCATTCCCCGCCGCACCACATGCAACAGATGACAGACAAGGGAATTTTTTTTACAGGACATCCTGTTGCTGTTGCATAATATTCCACGATGATGGTCATTAAGTGTTAGAGGAAGAGTTTATCCTTTAACAAATTACGGTTAACCTGAAGCCTGAATATCTCGGCTCTAGCTTGAGGCAAAACACAATTCAATATGCTTAGGATTTCATATTTCTTAAACTAAGTTATGCGTTTTTTTGTATCTCTGACAAGTCTTAATTCATTTCTTGCACTATTAGGGAGTTTTAGATTCACGTTAATTTCTGAATACGTGTGACCACAAACGTGTAGGAGTCGCGTGACCAGACTCCAGAGGTCGCGTTTGCCATTTTTCGCCCACGTTTGAACTTCGGGCAAGGCAGTTTCAGGTACTTCAAATCCCTAGCCGCTATTTTTTTCTTCCTGTTCGAAAGTTCTCACGTATGTCCTATAAATATATGTGAATTGAAGTCTTTTCTTTAGAACCGATCCGTTTGGGAAGCTAGAAAACCAATCTTTTAGCCACATTTTGTGCTTGAAATGAAGGACCCCCATCTTTGTTATGTAATTCAAGATGGCGGCGCGCATGCTGATGCTTTTTTCAGGTGAAAGCCGACGTCGATCTAAAAAGCTGAAAGTCTCGAGACTTCTAACTTCTGACCAAATTTTAAAATTTTTTTCTAGAATTCTTTTTGAGATCTCTAATGAGTTTAATAATCTTATAGTTTCTAACAAAAATTAACCTTTTTTTTTCAATTTAAACGGCCAAACCCTGGGAGCCTGAGTGTTAGGACAAGTTAAAAGTGTATATTTCAAAAGTAGATAGCAGTTCTTCCTGCTCTTGTCCACTAGTTGTATGGAACTTTTTCTTTGACGTGATTCAATTAAAATTTTCGATCCTAAGTACTAACACTGTCCAACTCGAAATTCTTAAGCCAATTTATTAAAGTATGCTTTAATTAAAATTTGATTTTTGTTCCTCAAAGATTGCTCCTTGAGTTATCATTAACTGGTATAGATCTTTTTTGACGTGATCTCAGTAAAAAAAATTTTAGAGACTAAGGGCCGGTATTTAAACAAAGTTTAGCCGTTGTTTACCAAATCCACGTTCCAAGCCATCTTCAATTTAGCCGAACCTCTTATCTCAACATTTATTTTTGTGAAGAGTGTCAAGAGGGTCGAAATTTATTAGTGGAAGGACATTTATTTAATCAAATCAACCCTCTTATAGAGAATCACTGAGGTCAACGACTTGCGTAAAACCGCAGTTTGGGTTGGACTTCGTGTAAGTACCGGCCTTAATTGTTTTAAATGTATAGACTTTTAGGGCTAATTGGAAAAGTATGCATGTTCGCATGAATTGATGTTTTTTTTTCTCAAATTGCCTCTAAGGCTTATCATCAACTGATATATGATTTCATTTTAATATGATTAGATTCACTAAAAACATTAGAGTCTAATCATTAAAGATGTTTGAGATATTGAGCTAGCTATTAGCCACAGCCGAATTGAACTAGATAATTTTGGTTTATCAACTGCGAAACAACATTCATTCCGACGATGGGCTAACGCTCGAAACGTCAGCTTTGAAACTCTTTGCGGTGGCCAATTTACGTTATCAACTAAGTTGAGAAAACTAAAGTTATCTTGCTATACTTCCCCACCGACGTAACACTACAGTTTCTTTAGAAACTTACACTATTTATTTAACCGAATCAAACAGCGTGCTCAAAAATTGGTTTTTGTCTCTCAAATTGCTATTAGTGTTTCTCATGAAACTAAACTGCATGATAGAGTACTTCTTTTTTTTAACGTGGCTCAACAAAAATCTTGACCCCACTTTTCATTTCTGCGCTTTAAAGGCTGAAACCGGTAGAAAGAGTATGCTAAATAACTGATATTACTTTCTCTTATTTTATCTAGTGGTTATCATCAACTCGTATATAATTTTTCAAGGTGATTCTTGGAGCCTTATCGTTCATAGTGTCTGAGCTGTTGAGGTATAAACCAGATTAGAATAGTATGCACCAAAATCTGATGTTTGTATCTCAAAGTGCTTGTATAGTTTATCATGAAATGGTAAAAAACTTTTTTGACTTCATCCTAGAAACATCTTATAGAGCCTAATAATATCAAATGTGTAAGCTCTTGAAGTTGAAAGCAAATTGAAATAGCATGCTCCAAAATGTCCTTTTCTCGCCGTTTCATTCTTAAATATCAATTGGTTTTTAATTTTTTAAAAGGGGACACTGGTAACTTAGTCAGCTCTTTTGGTGAAGAAAGCGAAAAAGAAAAGTATCATTCGCTAATAGAATTAAAGATTCTCCTCCAGTGAACAAATTGGTTTAGGAACTAGTTTTACAAGTTAGTTAACTTCATTGTGTGCTTTTCACTCTATTCCTGTGTTAGATATCGGTGCAGTTTGTTGGCTTAAAGATATTATATCCAAAGAAAAAGCATCTCGAGAAAATATTTCGATAGAATAATTAAAACAATGCAGACATTGAATCCGATTTGGGTCGTTATTTGTACATTTTCACCAAAGCACAGAAGCTGTAAAGTATTTAGTGCCACCTTAATCCAAATTCCGGTAACACGAAATCAAATGGCGTTACTTGACAATGGAAGGAATTTTATGAATTCAAATATGTTCACTGGGAAATAATTTATTGAATAAACACATAGATTGATTTTATACATTTTAGTAAAGCTATTTATCGAAGAATAATTTCAAAAATAAAATTTGTCAAATAAGCAATTCAATTGCTTTCCCTGGTTAAAACCACCGCTCAGTCATATTAAAATTTTATGCTTGATTCAAGTAGGATTCGATGCGAACGAAAGCTTACAGAAATGTTCAATAAAAATAAACTCAATAAATGATACTCAGATACTTTTATTTTTTTGTGGCTTTCTCGTCGTAACTAGTCACTGACTTGCAGATATTTTTACGTCCCTTATCTTCCTATTTCTATGCTTGGTTCAAGTAGGATTCGGCGCAAACGAGAGCTTGCAAAAATGTTACTTTTTTGGATTTCTCGTCGAAAATTTGAAATGAACTGTATTTCGTATTGATAAGGACTTTACAAATGATGTGAGTTATAATTAAGCATGTGGAAACTAAATTTATGCAATATTCAGTTGTTTGTGAATTCCTTCGCGATCAGAGGGATGAGTGACATTGCTTATCTTTGCTTGACTGATAAATGAACTGGTTTAATCCCTGAAAACAAGCAGGGGAAAAGCTAAGTTCTTTAAGTCAAACTTGAAGCCATTTCGAATGACTACAACAAAATTCCTCAACTTTACTAGAATGTTCAACAGCAATCGGTTTGAATTTATCGTTAAATCCAGGTTACTCTTAGTACACGTTCATAAATTGTGGTCACATAAAATACCTAAATGCCTTTTCTTGTTCAACATTACAAAGTACTTGTTTCTGAAACAACACCGCACTACGATCACTTGATAAAACATGATTTATTCTAAAGCATTTGTTAATTTATGGTGTTTTTTTTTTCTTCACAGACTGACAGGCGAATAACTTAAATGCCTCAAGCAAGAATCACACAAGAAAAGCTATGATTCGAGTGAAATACACGATTTTAAAAACAGAGGTCGCGCATTTCTTTCAAAAACATCTTGAGTCGGAGCTAAGATTCTAAAGTCCCAAAGTCGAGGACTGGAGAGTTGTAACTTTTTTTGGTCGGTTCATCAACCTTAAGGGATGTTTAAAATAGAAAATTTTCCCGCCGAAAAACTTAAAAAAAAAAAAATACGGGCGCTTTAAGTACACGTGCGTCGATTTATCATTATTTATTCTGTAAGTGACATCTGTTCAAATGTGGCGAATTTTCCCGCCAAAAGACTTAGAAAAAAATACGGGCGCTTAAAATACGCATGCGCCAGTTTTTTTTTTTAAAAAAAAAGTCAAGTTATGTATTATCTACATTGCCAATGAAATGAATACATTTTATTTGTTGTCTTCTTGTATTATGAAAGTCAATAAAGTAAAGTGCTCAGTTTGGTATCTTTTATTGTTTTTTCCAATAAACCACAAACGTTTTGTATTCAATAAAATATTTTATTTGTTTTAAATTCTCTTTATCACAAGTTAATTAATTGAGTATTTTTCAATTAAGTTATTAAAAAAAGGGTTAAGAAATTTTTTCCGTCTATATACTAAGACTTTTGGCGGGAAAATTTGGACAATTTGCACAGAGTTTCCCCTGGCAACTTTTTCGGCAAAAATTTTAACAAGGCTTCCGCCAAAAATTACTAAACAGTGTCTCGTGCAAAAAGAATTGGAGAGCTATCGTCAATTCTATTTCAGTCTGGATATTTTTTTTCGTTCAAAAGAAACTCTGACCTAACAATTTCCTCCAAACCTGTTTTGTTTTAGACTTCAACTCTTTGCACGAGACAATAAGTGGAAGTTCCTTACGAAAAAGCATCATGGCAAGCTATGGAGCGTCCGCTCAGAAATATTTGATTTTCTTCCAAAATTGTGGACGATTTCAGTTAAAAATTTGGTTGTAATTCTATTCACATTTTTGCTTGCCCTGATGTTTTTTTCTTCGGAGTAAAAGATCTTTGAAGCTATCAGTTTCGAATGTAACACAGGTGGGAAAAGCACCGGAAAAAAAATCGACTTTGAGCCAATTCCTTCATCATAAAATTTCTGTTTTGACTAAATTTGAAAGAAAAAAATGAACTATTGGAGTATACTCTTTGAATTTGGTTGTAGCCACAAGAGCTATAGGACATTTCAAAATTAACTCGCGGAATATTTTTAAAAAAATATGACAGTATCAATTGTTAGAAAAAACACTGGTTGATCTAGGCCGCAAATTAGGCTCCAAGTTTCTTACATCAAATTCGAAATAAAAACGAGTGATGAAGTCGGAGCAACCTCTTTGAATTTGATTTTAGCCTCGTGGCTAAGACATTTAACAGTTAGGCTCCGTGGTTGTTGAACTAAATTCGAGAAGTTATTTGGGAAATGAAAAGATATCAATTATTGAAGCAGATTCTTCTGAGTTCTATTTTAGCCAAAAGGGGCTATGACATTTGAAAGTTAGGCTCCAAATTATGATGAATTCCTGTGACGAATTATTAGAAGAGATTTTGGTCGTTAAACGCCTTCAATTTCTGTTTTATTCTAAATATGAAATGAATTTGATGATCGAAACTTCATGTTTTTGTTGATCGTTTTTCTTTTCTGTATTCCTGTGTTACACCAAGTGACTGCACAAAAGATCTTACTTTCACTTACAATAATGAGTAAATATACTTATTATAATACATTTTAACACCAAATGCCTGGTCCAAAGGGTGACAAATAATTCTCTTCTCGAATGCGACTTAATTTAAAGTTTTGTGGACTAGCTAGAAAGTTCGTATCAAAGGATCAATTTATATAAACCAGCAAAATGGCAACCATCGCGGTAAAAGAATCAAAGTATTAGCTTTTCAAAGCGAGGACATACCAAACCGTACATATTCCATAATTTGATCATATATAATTTGCATTTTTTGTTTGCACTTCGGTTTGGTAAAATCGACGTGCTTTCTGTCTAAATTTCGATTTTCTGAAACAAGTAAATGTGTTTATGATTCCTTAAATTTCCACAAGACTCGTCATAAATATATGAAAGCATTCAACATGAAAACTGGATTACTATTTTGATATAGTAAATGATAACATTCTCTAATTGTGTTTGATTTGGAATTGATTCAAGCGTTTGTCTGGAAAAATTAACGTGTTATACCAAAATTGAAAATCGTGACGAGCATATAAGACTGTAATTTTCTTGTTCATGCGATAAAATTGTGACTATTCATAACAACGAATCCCTGCCGATAGACTTATTTCATGTTTACTAGTAGAAAGATTGGCTCTTAAATTCAAATTGATTTTCGTCCAATCTGAAAAGTTTTTCTGAACGATTTGCGAAACATTTTATTACCTTAATCTCTATTAAATTAACTCTTCTCGAAACATGAAAATTGGTATTGGTATTGGTTGGTATATTAACTGGTTTATATAAACTTAAATTTCCACTTAATCAGTTTCTCGAAAGAGCACGTGACCAGGCATTTGAGTTAACTTTTAAAACATATTACTTTTCACCAAAATTCGAGCTCAGTTGATGGCACAAAGTAACGACATAATTAAGATGGCACTGTACTAAATTCTTGCTTCGTGTATGGAAATAAGTACTTTCTTTTTTTAAATAAAAGTTCCCGAATTTCCAGTTAAATACAGTTCATGCCGAGAATGAATTTTCAAGTCAATAAATTTTTTTGGCCAACTTTTTTCTTAGTATCATTTAATCGTTAAGTGCGATCGTCCAGGTATGACTAGTTCTAGAAAGGCTTGTTGTGGAAACTAGCGTTTAGCATGAGCAGATGTCGTCAGAGGCGCAAGTGAACGATCGTTTAGAAGTCGAATTGTATAACTTCGGTTTTGAAAACTGATTGGTCAGTTTTGCAGCAAAGTGGCTGTCAGACTCAAAAAGCGTTTGTCCGTTAATTAGTCTGTTTTGATCAGCTGGTAAGGTAAGTTTGGTCTGTTGATGACTGCGTTGTTTTTTTTTTTTTTGAAAGTCGTTTGTAGAGTGCCGATCGTTTATCGTTTATGTTATCTGTTACGAGGAGTCTTGTCCAAGTTAGTTAGTCCAACTGAGTTGGTCTTTGCGGATGGCGAAAGTCGACGGTGTTCAGCAATATGATTTTTGACGTAAAGAAAATACGCAAAATCAGTCAAAATCGTTAAAAGATTTAAATTTTTAATTCCGTTTGGTCTTTGTCCGGCCAGGGTATTTTGTTAGAGTGCCATCTTAATATCACCTTTGTGTGACATCAACTAATAAACAAGAGTGATACCAACTGTTAAACAAACCTAAAAAATTGAGCGATTACAGTTTCGAAATGAAAAAATTTAAGTATCAGCATTCCGTAGCCAGAATTATACCAGTTTTCATTTTTCTCGGTCTTGAATTCGATGTAACGAGGTTATATCTGAGATAAATTACACCAAATTATAGCTGGTGGTTCAAATAAATCAAATGATCGCTCAGAGTCTGAGTAACAATCACTATCACAGCAAACTATTCCAAAAATGGTGGCTAATTAATAACTCTTCACTCACCAGGTACTCACTTTTATCCAGTTCAAGACAATTGGGAAAAGAACAAAGACTTTGTACAATAATTAGAAATACAAAGCGCCACCATTTTTGCTAGTATTACTAAATAATTTTAAAATTCTTATCTTTGCAGTATCCACTAATAATTCAGTGCCTCTGTTGTCTTCTCTTGACCAATCTTTCTTCTTTCATCCTTCTGTAAACATTTCTCTTCCTGAAAGTAGAAAATATGAATGTCATCAGGGAGTGCTCACTTTCCATGAGGACAAAATATAGAAATTATAATTCTGGACAATTATTTTGCTATTTGACTCAGTTGTAGGACGAGGGAAATCATCCAAACGTTTTAAAATTTTGTTTACAGTGAAGCAAAGGCCACTGAGTATAAGAATCATCGCACCTTCTCGTGGCTGCATTCGAATACAAAATTAAGTCCCCAATGCATTTAGCGAGCGAATCTTTTTTATCGGAGCGTTTCACTAAAATATTTTATAATCATAGGTTCGGTTTTTCTCGAAGCCAACACCCTAATTTAGTCTAATTTCGAGTTGAGGTACCTAGACCGCGGAGCTGATTCGTGCTACGTCGTTGGCCTTACACAATACGGCTTGTTAAGACCTCTAAGGGAGATTAAGGCGATACTTTCTAAAATCAATGCTCACCTGCTGTTAAGAGTTTTTTTGTTGCTGTTTTTGCAGGTCCAATTTCTTCTTCCTTCCAGAGTACAACGTTAATTTTAGCACAACAGACGGTACGTCTTAACTCTACGATGGGCAACGTGGTTTACTGAAAATTCTACAACTTCTGATGAATATGGATTAACATTTTCATCCAATAATCGGCTGCTACGTCACATATTTGTCACGGAGTTCTGTTTGCACGCTCACTCAGCTAATCAAGAATCAAACTAAATAAAAGGCATTGCAAGTGACGGATTAGTATGCAACAAGAGGAAAAAAATCAGAGCAAGTGAATTTTAGGAAGTATTATGCGATCAGGAAATTAAATCTGATACTCGAAAATAGCTAATTTGAAGTACTGATATTATTAAGAGCACTAGAACTCAGTTTTTAATAAAAAAATGTTTTAGGACCCATTTTGATATTGCGTGAAAATTGTTGTTTATTTTCTTACGAAGAGCGTGTAACAAAAAGAACGCAAAGAGGATGACGCACTGTAATTTACCAGTGAAGAGAGAAAAACATGAAGAAATTAACGCATTGTTACTCTCTCATGAAGGAAGAACAAGATTAAAAGTACGCAGAATTAATTCAAAGCGCTGTCATTCTATTATACAGACAGGAGAAATCAACATAGGCACTGATGTCGCAGATGTCTCGCCCTGTACGCTTTCATCCGCTTGCCTTTGAGACTTAAAGAATAGTTCCACATTGACCTCGGGAAGCCGCATCCAGCATATTGAGACATTACTTAAAAAATGAAGAAGCCTGAACTGTGCTCTGTTTTGTTGTAAGACACGCATGAAGCAACTTTAGCATGATGGCCCCAGATTGACTTGAACTTGCGAATCGTACCACAGTGTGATCGCAATCGCTGTAACACCATGATTTGTGTAAATTTTTGACAGAGACGCCAGTTTGATTGTATTGATTGTATCTCTCATTATTCCTGTTTTGCTGTGTCTTTTAACACGAAACTATACCATAAGTAAAAGTTTTATTACCGTACTTAGGCTAAAGACAATCTTACAGCGTAAAAACATTCAAAAACGAAAGCAGCCCATGAACGAGTTAAAAGACAAAAAGAAAATTGAAAATCCACTCTAGCTGTTCTTCATTTTCCCCTCGATAGCCAACAGAATTTGGACCCACCCCTTCCCTATGAGTGTGACGTTAACCCTAGTTTATTATCAGTTGACTGTTGTTGAGTTAGGGGAGGGGTAGGTTTGCAGTTTTTCAGGTACTGCCATTGATCCAGTATTTCTAACTAATAACTTTGTTTAATCTCATTTCCCATTTACTTTTGAAGAAACAGGAGTTGAATACAAAAAAAAAAGAAGAAAAAGGAAATAAAAGTTCTTGGAGTATCTTTAATAAACCAAAGTTCTTTCTCACATTCTAAGGCAAGACTTGAGCGATTTTTCAGCATCTTAGTTCCTTTGGCCATTTCCTATTTCACCTTTGAATGTTTAGTCTTCATGCCTAAGATCTTGATCATTTTGGAGTATAGGAGATTTTCGGCAAAGTTTATACTAAAAGTAGTCTTTCAAAATGTATCATATTGGTAGCTATCATGTCAAGTATTTCACCACAAAGAACATTATTATACAGGTGACTATCATTCCTCCAAAAACAATCCACTTGTCCTACAGAGAAAGAGAGAGAAAAAA